CAAGAGCATGATTTAAATGGTGTAATTACCCCCGGTACTACACTAGTAAATCAACGAGTAGGGAGTGATGATGCTGGCTCTTCAACTTCGACTCATACAAGTGCATCAAATAATACAGATTCGTCTGTCACTCATCCTGGGTCATCAGCATCATCCAATGCGTCTTCTTCCCGAGAACGTGCTAAAAGTGATGATAAAGTCTCCTTGTTACCACATGTATCCGCTTCTTCTACTAGTACACCTATGAAATCTTCAAATACACCAGGTTCATCGGGCAAACAAAAACCGGCTGCTTCAATTAATCAAACTGCTCCTGCTCTTATGTCCCAAGTTGTTGCTGGCACTCCTAATAAATCTGGAAAGTTGAACGCAAATAGTCATTCAACATCAAACAGTATGACAATCGTTGCCGAGATAGGCCCGGCCAAACCCTCTAGTACTATAGATTCTCAGGTCGTTGTTGACGATCTTGCTCGAAACCAGAAGAACGAAACCACCCAAAAACATAATGACCGTCCCAATACAGTTACAACAAATCCTCAGTTACAATCACAGATAAAAAATGGCCCCAGTGACGATAGCAATTCATTAACACCTTTCTCCTCTGCTTCAGGAACAAATTCAACGTCTACAGCACCTAGTCTTGCATTTTCCGCCTCTCATATAAAGGAAGATTCTTCTGTGATCAACAGTCGAGAAGAATTACTTGCGCCATGTCAACCGTCATGTGTTTCCAACTCAATAAATTCTTCGTCACCTATTCCGCTCCGAAGTATGTCATCTGAAGTTAGCAAAGCTTCAGGTGTTACTAATGCTTACAACAATTCGATGCTTTCCACTTCTACAGACGAAAACTCTGAAAACGTAAATCGTACTCCTCCCAGTCTATATTCAACGGCTATGCTAGCTGCTTCTCAGGATAAACAATTGTCATCCCTACTCGCTTGCTCTCAACATCCATCTTTAGGACGTGCAGGTTCGAATTCTGTTGTGGATCCGTCACTTTCTGCAATTTCCTTGTCCAGTAAATTTCACTCAACATCTGGTGTTTCATCTTTACCACTTCCTTCAACTATCATATCTACAACCAATCCTCAAGTACAGTCCTCTTATTTGGGACTAGACAGCCAACTATCCAGTATACAACCGTCTTTACATTCTCAACAAATAAAAAATCAGAATAGTCCTGTTCATGCTCATATGCATCCACGTGATGCTGCTGCTCCCTTCCGTAACAGAAATTTGGACAAACCCAAAGGAGCTGTACCACAAGAGGTAAGTTCATTTTTGTCTTCTCCGTTCCGATCCATTTCTCATATGTCCTGGTCTTTCTATGGATTTTTGTTTACATCATTGCATTGATTTAGTCTTAACCGACCTAACGTGATTGCGCAATGATTCGAGCTGTCACAATAATATTTCATTAAGATGAAAAAAAGCCCAGCCAGTACAAACGGTTAATTTCATTAGAAAATACAATGCTTCTACCATCCACTATAATCAATCCATAGATTTTATCGCAAGAATACCATCTTGTGGTGCCACACAAGCCGATAAGTGTTTTAAAATGGCAAACAAAAGTTCACTCATTCCTCTATTTTCTAGCAATTATATACTACTAGAAGGAAAAGGAACACTTCAGATTTCTTTTCCTAAATGCCCTGGACGGCCAAGGGTTTATTTTTTTATTTGGACACATAAATATTGGTACAAAGGGGTACTGAATACATATGCGCCACACAAGTCACTTGATTTGGGTGTGGAGAGTCAGCTCTCTCTCTCGAAATCCTCTCACACGGACACGAATGTATCTGCTGCCAGAGAAGTTCTACTCATTGCCTACTCCTCGCGGTTTGTTGTTTACGAAATTGAGAAAACGAAAAGCGAATGCCCGGCGCTTTAAGCGGGTTGATAAACATGAAGAGTCTACCTAGGGGAGTTGGAAAACCCTGATATTAATGTTTCGTATGTTTTGAGTTGACGTGGTTTTGCAAAAAAGAATTCGATGTTTCATTTTAAATTCTCAGGTTGTGGTTGACCAAAAAACACTACTCTAATTTGTTTGGTTTCAGTTCACACTCGTGAGAATCATTATTATAATACTAAAGACGATTTGTTATCAATAGTCTATTCAATCCTGTAAACCATAGTTCTGGTTTTAGTTATCCATTAAAAATTCCTCTCATAGTATTGATGAAAGGTATTGTAGTGAAACTCCAGGGTAAACATTCGTTTTCTATATGTCACAGTCATGGATCACTGATATGTAAGTATCTTAATATTATCGACATCTTACTATCAAATCATCCGAAAGTTAGTTATCATGAAATACCTATCAACATTACATTAGACTGTTAAACAAATTGTTATATTTGTAATATTTCTTGAAACACTACAGATTCATTCTATGGTGAAAAAACCACAGTTTATGAAATCATTATACGAGTAGTCTTTTGCCAGAATCCTAGTGTTTGTTTTGGTAAACTTTTTGGCAAACAAAGCCTTGATATGCACGTATATTTAATCGTATTCTTTAATCTTAAGTTGGTTTTTGCTACAAATTTTCAGTAGGATAAGAACCGGAGGTCGCTAAGTAACTGTTTTATCCCAGTTTGAAACTTATCATTAATAGATCCTTCCACTCATAAGAGCTCGAATTCAAGAGATTCAGTTATCCGTATGTCCGCATTACCATTTAGACCAATGAGTCGTAATTGATTTCTACATATTTACCGACTTTAGTCACTCGATTATACTATATGGAGCTGGGTTCAAACCCTATATTTGAAAGTCGAACACCTTAATCATTGATTCGCCGCTCCATCATCTAGTACTATCAGACAAGGTCATGGGTAAGCGCTCTTGATGAGCCTTTCACTAGGACGAACTATCTATCTATCAATCCCTAACTTCTAATGATTTCGAGCTATTTTTCAAACGACTTTTAAATTGAACGAATCTCGACAGACTTATTATATAATAGAAAAATATGTTGTTTTAATCTTTTAAACATACATTGGAACTCTACTAATAATTCTCTAACCTTATTAATTTTAATCGAGGTGTCGGTAGTTCGATTTTCCAAAATATAAATAATACTTTCTGTCTAAATATTTGCCTACATTTGAATTAACCATAGTAAATTAGGGCTTATTGATAAAGATGATGAAATATATTTTTCTAGCATACTTGAAAATTATCAAGTTAGCAATAGCATTTAAATTGTTAATGACAAATATAAAGTGTACTATATGATATATGATAATAAGGATCTTATGAATAGGTTTCTCATTTTGTGTTTTTGTTATAACTTGTGGCTTGTGTGCCCTGCTAATGTATAACGTAACGATACCGCCAATTAGAGAGCAGTGACTTATCGATCGGATCAATGACGCGTAAACCCGTATAAACAGTCTAGAGTCCTTATTGATCCTGCTTTCCGCCTAGCCCAGCCAGTTAAGTACAGAACACCAATCTCAGCCTCTGAGATATGAATCATTTATTTCAAACATACTGGGTTTATATACAATTCAGACAGACCAAATCGTACCAATAAAATAGGAAACAACATTTGTACAAGATTTAGCCAAATGGTCCCGACTTCAAGCACTGATACCGCATTTTGGTATGGCCGCCCCTAACTTTTCTCCAACTATCCCCAACACTAGTCAGCATTGTGCGTCGTGGTAATCGGTGTTCAGGCATTCGTAAAACGTGGCCCAACCATCTCAGTCGATGAAGATTTACAACCTCATCAACTGATTTTTCATCCTTCCCTAATACCCTGCGTCTAACCTAGTAGCACTTCATGCAAAAAAAGTAAATAGCATAACTCTAAATACCCAGTGGTAATTAGACAGCAACAATTTGGGAATAGTCCAGTTACTATAACTGACTAACTGGAGCTAATATGGTGAGGCACGTCTGTCTACGTATACAATAACCATTCCTTAATGTCATTTGTCACAACTGCAAAGAGATTGGTCGTATTAAGTGGATTTATGTCCTATTACTATCGTATCCGCAGAGGCGTAAACGAAGAAGACGAATATTTATTTGAACACTTAAATATTGGTACAAAGCGGCACCGAATACATATGCGCCACAAGTCACTTGGTTTGTATGTGAGCTCTGATATTGCCCGAGTGCCCAAACCAATGCAGGTGGTTTTCTTAGGGGGCCTTCGACCCAAAAGTCTGATCTACAAGGTGGTGGAGAAACCTCAGAAGATGCAGTCCCATAGTAGCCGGTGACTAATAATTGGTCCATGCATTATCTGTTCTCTCAGGATCCTGGAGCCTATATGCACTATTGGTTTGGAATCAGGGTTTTTCAACTCCTCCAGGTGGATCCTCCATATCCACCAACCAAGTTACAGCGCCGGACATTTGCTTTTCGCCCTCTCAATTTCGTAAACAACAGTAATGCCGCAAGAAGGCAGTGGATAAATTGGAGAATGACATTATCCACACCACTGCAACCAATTTCGTATTCATCATGTTACAATTATAACGCGTTTCAAATTTTTGCAAGAAAATCAAATGGATAGTGATGAGTAACCTTCACTAAGAAAAATAGCGCTACCTTAGTAGATTAGATAAAAGTAAATTGTTGATCAGTTAATTCAAAGTTTAAGAAAAATATAGACAGAAAGAACCCTTTCAGTAAAAGTTCTCACATTTTTATAGAAAGTACGCAAAAATCGTAACAAGATCGCAATTGGCTTCGACTCAGACCTACGACCGATAATGTCTCAAGCCACCAAGCTGCACTATCTTTTGGACCACAACCAGGGAATCACGGTAAACAGATAGATGTCATACCCCGGGACAAGGTCTTGAACTTACCACCTATCTTTTGTCAACCAGTTCCAGCTTCGGTAAATAAAGCACGATTTAAAAGTCACTGGAATGACACTCATAGCATTTAGCCACGTCACCGAACCCGTTGTTTCAAGATGGTGACACCGATTAGACTGTTTTCACTACCCGACCACACGTTCCCGAACTTGAGTTAACATACACTGTTACATGTATACTATATTGTTAAGGGTTTGTAGTTCCCTGTTGTTAATATTCAGAACTAAAACTGAGTAGTTATTGAAATACGTGAATCGTGAGCGGTTGGCATCAACATAACCTAGTGGTTACAATGTTAACATTAATACTGAGATGGGATGAGTCTTAGGTAGGATAAGACGCATGACCTAAATTCCACAACAATCCAACCATATTGAAAACCATTCACGTATTAATAAAACTATAATTACTCAGTTGGGAGAAGACAGTAAGCAGGTTTAACAAAAAGAACAACTATTTACATGAGAAAATGGAGACTACACCATTGAAGAAAGAACAAACGTAGAATATAATGTAAGTGAATTATGTGACCAAAGGAAATCTCATTTTTAAATGAAAGAATTGTAGGTCATATGAAAACATATTGTCATATACAAGAAGTAGTATTTTACACATGTACTCATAGTGCAGAAAATACAGTCATGTAGTCATTGATTTGTAGAAGCAAATAAGGTTGAGTGTATATTTTATTCTTCACCATAATGTCCATGGAGTTAAACGTAAGTGATATACTGGAACCACAGAAACATTAACAGGAAAATCAACTAATGCTTTTGTTAGATTTAAATTATCCAAAGCAGTGGTTATTGAATGCCTTTAAAATTAAAGAAAAAAATCAAATGTGAACCTCTAGTTAACTATTTTCAAAATCACCAAAACCAGTTAATACTTATATATATTCGACTAAAATTTGTTTCCTATTGAGCTTATTACTACGTTATTTATAGATAACAGGGAAAGTAAGTTTATGGTTTTTTTATTTTAACACATAGATATTGGTACAAGGAAGCACTAAATACACATGTGCCACACAAATCTCATTCGAGATGTGTGAGGGCTGTGATACTGCCCGGGTGCCCAAACCGAAGCAGGTGGTTTTCTTAGAAGGCCACACCCCGAGCCTTCGACTTAAAGGTCTGATCCACAAGACGGTGGAGCATCGTGAGGAGATGCAGTTCCATGGAAGCCGGTGACCAACAATTGGTTCATACTCCATTTGTCCCCGTAGGATACTGGAGCCCATGTGCACCATTGGTTTTGAATCCGGTTAAAGTGCCGGACATTCGCTTTTTGTCCTCTCATTTTCGTAGACAACACCCTTGGTAGGAGAAGGCAGTGAGTAAGACTTCCCTGGCAGAGGCCATATATGCGTGGCCAAGTAAGTATTAATTATCACCAGAATAGTTGAACCTATTGAATGAATGATAATCTGTGACACGTTAACATATATTTACAGTGTGAAACCGATGAAATTCGGCCACTTAAAAGTTGTTAAATTGTGACTGAAATTAACAGAACCAATAGCATTAGGTCATTTGGTATTCAAGTTAACCTATTCTTCTGAAACCTAATCAGAAAGTCTCCGAATGCCAATAGAGTTCGACCAAATAATCAATGACTCCATAGATTGATACTCAACTTTGATTTGATTGTTTTTGACTTTTTTCAACAAACTCAATTTTTAACCAGGATGGTTCACACGGGTAAGCAGTGGGTTGACCTGCAAAACACATATATTGACTAACTACGTTAGTAAACATTCATAGACTCATCAACCACCTATAACTTTTGTCCGACGTCTATTTTCAGCATTAATCTTTATTTCCATCACACACGATAAGTAAAATACCGATAACCTTTAAAAATCGTTCTTTACAATTAAATAGCGAGAGCAAACTGTTGGGGAATATATTCGCTCCTTGATTGGCAAACAGGCAGAGGCCAAAGAAGCTTTGGTACTCGTGTTAAGATATCGTCAGTTACTGGTTCGCCACATATGACGACATTTCCTAGATAAAACAGCCAAAATGCACTGATACATCATTTTTAATGATTAAAATGAATCCTATAACAGAATAGTCCTGAAAAGACATTACCTATTTGAAAGTGAAACTGTCACTCTGAGCGTTTATAGGATAACATTTTCATACCATCTATGAGAAGCAGAACTGTCATTAACATACTCTGATGATGAAAACCTCCAGTTAACTTAATTATGGAAAAGGAAGAAAATATACTGTAGTATTCATTGGGTGAATACAAATTTCTTAGTTAAACGCAATCCAGAATCTTGCACGTGTACATTTATTTAAATTCTCATATTACATTACTATGGAGAAATAAGATTATCAGGGCAAATCCCAGATTACTAAAGGTATTAATGGAATTAATATTAATAGAAAAGCTTGAGCATCGAAGATGTGGTCGAAGACGTTATAGATTAAAGAATAACCTAGAAAATCTATGAGGAGTCAGGAAACCTAGGTCCTGAAAAAAGAGAGTGATTGCGTTTGCGCCACTTAGAATGATTTGAAGCTATGTCACCCAAGGTCTCCAACCACCGTTGAGCGCACGCAATACATGTCCCAACGACTTCAAACGGCAAAGATTCACCGACTCATCGATTTATCTGCCATCTTTACAGAGTATTCTAAGTTTCACTTCAGAATTTGCAATTAGATGGTCCTAAAATAAACAACCGATGATTCGAAGATACATATTATTATTAATGGCTTTATTTAATATATATGATCAAATACTCGTAACCGATGGATATGCTGCACTTTCAAACAACATGTTTCACATCCATAAAGTTAGACAGGACTACTGCGCAGTAAATTCGTCGTTTGGTTGTCAGACGGGTATCCCACCTGCGTCACAAGTCACACATTTCGGCAAAAGCCAATCAAACCTTCCGAATCCGCGCCGAAATTTTGTCAGATACCGCCACATTGGGACTGATGAGGCTCTCAAGATAATCGAAAGGATCGGTACATTCAACTACTTGACTCCCTATTACTGATTCAGATGCCAGGGAAAATCAATTCCGAGGCAAGATTTTGCAGTTGGAAGGAGAGGAGAGCATCCAAAACATCCTTGCTTCGTTTTTTGATGTGGTCAGAAGACTGCATTGTGTCAGTGTCTCCACCAAACATAACTATATCATCTGAGTCAATAAGTAAATATCCTGGTAGGTCAGCCCCTAAAATGTCAGGCGATGAAGGTGTCATTTCAAAAAGCATGTCGATCACAAGGTTTAACGAAAACGGGGGAAATGTACAACCCAGACAAACACTATTTGAAGTTATAATTTCTGATAACCGTTCGACATAAGCTCGGACTCGACCAGAAGTGTTCGAGTGGAACATGTACTATGTTAATGTACTTTTTTGGTACGTCCTGTAATGACGGAAACTGCCTTAAAACATGTCGATTTACAGGACCAAATGTCGCCTGGGGGTCGAGAAATTAAACTATGGTTGAGAGTCGGTAAGTATGCCTGCGATATAAAACCTGGGGTGGTGCGAATGTTTAGTCTACACATCCACAGCTAGATCTGAAACAAGCATGGATTCCTCTAGTTTGATCTTTATGAGTTCTCGTTAAGCACCGGATGATTATTGAGGCAAATATCTTGAATTCAGTGTGCAAATTATCTCACGTAGTGACCTCATGCATTTGTCTCTCCACTGATCCAGATCAGCAGTGGATTTTGAGTTACTTAACTGCACCATTCGTTCTCAAAATTCTCATCTATAACATTCTGAAAACAGCTCTGATGTAAGTAAGAAGTGGTGGTCTGAACCTTTCCACTGGAGAAAGTTACTGATATCGAGTACGCGAATGATATTGTCTTACTGTCCGATGACGATTGTTCTACTTTCACTCACCAGTTAGTTTATTCAAATAGTTCCTAATCGCTATCCTTAAATTTCAGATGCACAATAACAGGTGCTGTTGCTCGGCATAAATTTCATGAAAGGAAAATGAAATCAGCTGTAACATTCGTTAGTTGTTTGCATGAGTGTTTACATAAACTTCACTAGTCTTTAGGGTTGGCGCATGTAACACGAGATCATACTGGATTACTACACAACCGAAGTTTTTAAATGGTTTGATGTTTCAACTACATTTACTTGAATGCTCCCGTTTATATTCGCCTAAGTGACTTTTAAGTAAACTGATTTTCGTACTATATGGGAGGTCTTTTCCTTACAACCATCTGTCGAGCAAGATAAGCGGCTAGCAAAAGGAAATTACTTGTGTCCACCAAAGCAGTTTAAGATTTAAAAAGTATACAAATAACATACCCATCTTTTCCATTCATAAACGCACATGGTATCTGCACACGTCTGGAAGTATCGTCCTGAATCATGCTAAATGTGTGGATAGCCTTGCGGTTAAAATCATAAACAATCACAGCAACTGCACCGGCAACGTGAGCATTAATAGCTTTCGTGACGAAACTACAACCTCTATTTACACTGAAATGATACTGATAATTACCTACCCACGAATTATGAGAGCAATATTTCGATTCACTTCATGTGCATTACTTACCAGCTCACATGCGTGAGGAGGTTCTGTTAGCACTAATGACGTGGACGTAAATGTTGTATTCTTAAATAAGTAGAAGCCAATAAGAAAGATATTTACGTACAAAATGGGGTCCTATTTGACCAGGACTTAAGCGATATGTAAACGGCAGAGTAGATGGATTTATCACCCGAAGATGTAAATAATCATTTTCTCCTAAAACATATTCAATAAAGTTAAAACTAATGAACTTAGTCAAACCATTCGAAATACTTATGAGGATAAAAAACAACTCAAGCAAAAGTAACATGCATGAATACAGACTAAATGACCCGCTTCAGCAACCTAAGGCGGTATGAGTATCCCCTAGGTCAATATTTAAATGTTTGAAAATGTCTTTTGGTTTATTATGTGAGGCATCTACTTTCAGCCTGCGTTTCTAGAAAGACGTTTGTCGACTATTGCCTGTAATTTTCCAAGCATACACGGAAAAATCAAAACAGCAAAGCTTGTCTGTAAATTTGCTTGATAAGAGATAAAGGACATTCAATTGATTATGCTATGTTTTTAGATTGCAAGGTGGGAATTTTTGATAAGTTAAGCCACAATTCCTGTTCTAAATTCTTTGAGTTATGATATAGCGAAACTTCAGTCAGTAACAATTATTGGTTGATGAGATACTTAAAATATATTCTTTCAGTACATTAACAACTAGATTAAATGCCGAAACTCCCTTAAAATGAATCTGTAACTGATTTTACCATTCATTCCAATGATTTACTCTTCAACCTACAGACTCCGGTCATGAATACGTATGAGCGTGTTTTCTGTTCATGTTCTTTTGTGTTTCATCCTTAAGTGGTTCCCTCTTAATTTGAGTTTGTCATCCTGTAGTAAGTAAAGTAGGGTACATTTGGTTTGGAGAGTCGTTTGACTAAGACTCGGGGTTGTACTACTGTAACTGCCTGTTCTCATTGTCATATCCGCTTCGCCGAATTCTCACTACTCTAAACAAAGTCAACCATTAGCAGCTTTTCGTTGTTCCGAATTCTTGACCAAGTATACACGAGGTTCAATATATCCCTTATAAACTGAACTCGACTTTTAATATCAAATAAACTAATACTCGTCAATCACATCAACAAGAATTTAGGACCTTAAATGTCTATCATTAGTAAACAAGACCAAAGGAAGGCTTTGGTAGATTGGTCGTACCGTTTCTTATACAGAATGAGGAACAAGTAGGGGATGACACTAAACTATTTAAAAAAATAAACTAATCGATCAATAAGACAAAATGCCTGCATGGAATGAGGAGGTCGATAATATCAGATTCTAATTATAACGTTCTTATCTTGACTGAAGACTTTTATTATATCTTAAATACCTAATTTTGTTGTTACATCAGCCTCTATTTCGAGCTACTTGAAATTTACCTGTGTCCGTTTAATACCAACCATATCTACTCTGTTCTTGGATCTAAAATCTGGCTAACACATATTTTCCTAGTACCATATTATCCCTCGTCTTGGCGGACATGTCTACTCACTGCAAATTATATCAAGTAGCCTGTCGTTAATTTGAGAAGCAAAAGTATTGGTGTCATGAACAGTAATACAAATACGAATATCTGATCAAGTAACGCGAGCAGACTGTAGGGCCAGTGCACTGTCACCATGCTCTAGCCAAACCCGTCAGTCGGATCACTGAATGTCTAACAGTTCGCCGATCATCGTCAAGTTCAAGGACAACCAACGCGCACCAACTGATTGTACGCCATAGGCCGGCCCATGCGACGGCAGTCACAATTTATCCCTTGTTCCTACTTTTACCAATACTTTTCTGTAATAATGTCCTTTGTATTATACAGATTCCGTGCAGCCACAGCAACTTGATACAACAGGAAGGTAATCCACGTCAGGTGCTGACTGCGTGATGTGTCTTTGGTGTTAACTATCGGTCATATCAGCTCTATCTAACTTGAGTAGTTCCCAAATCATTCGACACAGATCATCTACATTAATGATCAACAAAACTATTCAGCATCATTTTCCTTATAATTTTAGCATACAAAATCCACTGATCTCAACGTTTTATATCCACTTGCTTTCAAACTGTTTGGCTTCGGAGTTATGGAATAGCACTCAGAACACAGTAATTTCTGAACTTATATAATTTCATAACTTTTTCTGTCATATTTTGTTCAAAAATAAATAAATGTAAAAGAAGGCTGTCAGTTATGTGAAAGGTAATAATTTCTTTATTATGGACCTTTCCCCTTAACTCTGAACATCAGTAACTTATATTGCTCTGGTTGCGTGGCCTGTCAACCGTGATTGGTGGGTTTGAGTTGACCAATTTTGTAAAATTATTTCCTGAAGAGTTTACTGACACTACTGAACCCGTGATGTGTCTTTAAAATATGACGCAAGCTGTTCTCACTTATTGATCTCCCAGAACAAAGTTACACACATCTGTACCAACGAAATATACAAGATAACGGTAAGCCACACAGTCACCTTACATTCCTTGTTGAATTTCCAGAGCTCCAGATAAGTGAAGATGATTATTTTCGGATACATTTTCTCCGACACTATGAAATTACTTAGATTGACCTCTCCACTTCGGAATACAGTTAGTTATGATGGGATATCTAGACTTAACAGGGCAATTTCTTTCTTTTCGAAATCGATATCGAGAATATGAATCCACTAGCCACACTAGTCTCAATCACCATTCATTTCGCAAGTTAAAGACTGCTCTTTTAATTTCTGTCAGTCTTCAAGATTTCAATCCATAATTGAAAACTGTTTAGAATTGTCACAGAAAACTGACCAACAATTGCTGCTGTAGTAACGAATAAACATCCAATCTCGCATCACCTTTCACGTTATCTATGTTTAATAGTAGATATTATGGAATGTACGGGTCATTATCTTTTTAATCTTCAAACTTATCTAACCCTGAAGAGGCTATGATAATATTCATTTGTTCTAGTGTGATGTGTTAGCTAAGATAGTGGATGGTAGAATACAAACATCTGTTGTGGCATGGGAACCTAGTCACACGAACTTTGAAGCCGAGCATATAATTGCTGAAAAGATTTCTATTCTACAAGTGAAACGAAGAGAAGGTCAATGATGGAGAAGACGGGAATTATTAATTCATTAAAACGGGGAGGCATGACAGCCTTGAAGTCGTGATAATTCTGCATAACTTGTCCTTACTTACATTAAATAACTCCGCCTGTAGCTCTTATAGGGTTGCTGCCGGTCCCAAGCCCGGGTAAAGGAGGAGGGTTGGGCATGGGGTTAGCGTCCCCATCCCGTAGAAAACTAACTCGCTAAAAAAACGCTTACCAGAAAAAATAATCCAAACCATTTTAACTCTGCCCTGGGAGTTAGAAGGTCTTCATTTAGAAGAATTATGACGCTTCATGGTGAAAGCCGAGTTCCTTCGGAAGCCACGAGGCCGATGCCCCTTCTAACAACCAGAGCAAAAATTTTTATAGGTACATGGAACGTTCGAACAATGTGGGAAACCGGGAAGACCAGTCAAATATCAATGGAAATGAGGAGATACAACTTAACAGTACTGGGAATCAGCGAAACCCACTGGACCCAAGCTGGACAGAAAAGGCTAAATACGGGAGAGATGCTGCTATACTCCGGTCACGAAGAGGACAATGCTCCACACACTCAGGGAGTCGCTCTTATGCTGTCCAAAGTAGCACGAAATGCACTTGTAGGATGGGAATCTCACGGATCCAGAATCATCAAAGCATCATTCAAAACAAAGAAGAAGGGGATCTTAATGAATATTATCCAATGTTATGCACCCACCAATGATAGCAACGACGACATTAAAGATCAATTCTACGAGCGGCTGCAGTCAGTGATAGAGAAATGCCCAAGAAAGGACCTCACCATTCTAATGGGAGATCTAAATGCCAAAGTCGGAATAGACAACACTGGATATGAAGATATTATGGGACGACATGGACTGGGAGAAAGAAACGAAAATGGAGAAAGATTTGCAAATCTATGTGCGTTCAACAAATTGGTCATAGGAGGCACAATATTTCCACACAAGCGTATACACAAGGCTACATGGATCTCACCGGACCACACTACAGAGAACCAAATAGATCATATTTGCATCAACAAAAAATTCCGAAGGACAATGGAAGATGTGAGAACCAGGAGAGGTGCTGACGTAGCTTCAGATCACCACCTAGTTGTAGCCAATTTGAAACTGAAGCTAAAAAAGAACTGGACAAGTGGACAAACAGCAATACAAAGGTTCAATACAGCCTTCCTTCGAGATACTGTCAAACTCAATGAATTCAAGATAGCTCTCAACAACAGGTTCCAAGCCTTACGAGATCTACTGAAAGAAGAAGAAACTACTATGGAGGACAACTGGAAAGGCATCAAGGAAGCATTAACTTCAACGTGTCAAGAGGTTCTCGGTCTAAATAAATACCATCATAAGGAATGGATCTCTACAGAAACAGTGGACAAGATCAAAGAAAGGAAGAACAAGAAGGCAGCAATAAACAACAGCCGAACACGAGCAGAGAAAGTCCAAGCACAAGCTGAATACATAGAAGCAAACAAACAAGTGAAGAGGAGCATTAGAGCCGACAAGAAGAAATACGTTGAAGAACTAGCAACGACGGCAGAAAAAGCTGCTAGAGAAGGAAACATGAAACAGCTTTACGATACAACGAAGAAACTATCAGGGAAATACAGTAAACCAGAGAGTCCGGTCAAAGACAAAGAAGGCAAGCCAATCACCGAAATTCAACAACAACGTAACAGATGGGTAGAATACTTCGAGGAACTCCTGAATAGGCCGGCTCCAATGAATCCACCGGACATCAAAGCAACACACACAGATCTCCCTATAGATGTCAATCCACCAACTACGGAAGAAATTAGAATGGCCGTCAGACAAATCAAGAACGGAAAAGCAGCAGGACCCGACAACATACCAGCTGAAGCACTGAAATCAGACATCGAAACAACCACAAGCATGCTTTATCTTCTATTCAAAAAGATTTGGGAGGAGGAACAAGTGCCGATGGACTGGAAAGAAGGACACCTCGTCAAGATTCCAAAGAAAGGAGATCTGAGCAAATGTGAAAACTACAGAGGCATAACACTACTGTCAATACCAGGGAAAGTCTTCAACAGAGTGTTGCTGAACCGGATGAAGGATGCAGTAGACGCCCAACTTCGAGATCAACAAGCTGTATTCCGTAAGGATCGGTCGTGCACAGACCAAATTGCAACACTACGGATCATCGTCGAACAATCAGTTGAGTGGAACTCATCATTATACATCAACTTCATTGATTATGAAAAGGCATTCGACAATGTAGACAGGAGGACGTTATGGAAACTTCTTCGACACTACGGAATTCCTGAGAAGATTGTCAATATAATCCGGAACTCATACGACGGACTACAGTGCAAAGTAGTGCATGGAGGACAGCTGACAGATGTAT